GTCACAGCCCCTCGTTTGTTGTCCTCTTCTCTCTCTCTGCCTACGGTTTACCGGGCAGTTCTGTTTGTGACGATATATATATCGTCATATATATAGATATATATAGATATAATTTTAATTTTTATTTTAAATTTGGTGAAGAATTTTGATGTGGCCCTGAGGCAAAAGTTGTTCAGTTTTTTTTTCTGCATAACATAGTTTTTTTTTTCGGACTTTTTGGATTTTGTTTTTTTTGCTGGGACCTTCCCTGGTCCATGCACGGGCTGGCCACCCGGGACCCGGACGGCCAGGCTGGTAGCCTAGAATTATAGTTAATATTTTTTTTTTTTTTGCGCGGCCGTGGAAGTGTTTCCGGGCCACTCCGGTAATCTAGGTAACAAACCACCACTACCTTTCACAGGCAACCTCGAAACCTCCTAAGAATGCGGTACTATCTATACCTCATGCTTCGGAGGCCAGGCGCCAGCGGACCAAAATGGGCGGCAGTAGTGCTGGCGCTTTGGCAAAGCTTGGTGCGCAGTTCTTTTCCGCCGCGGTAAATCGAGGCTCGCAGGTAGTGGTGGCTTAATATTGCTGGCAATCTTGTCCAGCATCCTACCATAAGTCAAGATTTTATCCGAAGAAGTCCATATGCACTTCTCGACAGGTCTCACACTTCAACTTTCTGGAATGTATACATCCACAAACTTACAGCCAGATTCACTCCGTAAGCATGCTCTAACACATTTCACATGGAGCCCGAGATGCCAAACGTTGACACTCAGATTTCTATACGACGTTCAAACGAAGGAAATTCCTAAACTGCTCATCCTTCCCAACGACTTTGAAACCTTGTCTCCTCTTTCCCCCTTTCCCCCTTTCCATCGAGAGGCTCAAGTCCCTTTTCTCCTCTTTCCCTTCTTCCACCCTCCTCCCCCCTTCCCCCCCCCGCCCCGCCTACACACACACATGCATAGAACCCGCCCCCGCTGACCCTGCTCCGCATGCAAACCTGGATATAAATTCATTATCGGCAATAGAGGTAACGCGGCTTTGACTGTGGATGTACTCATCTGGGTGGAACAGGGGCTGTTGTGGTGAAAATCTACAATACACCTGCATTTGGTCCCTGCAGATGCAACCATGGTCTGTGTTGCTGTA